CTCGGTCATCTTTTTTGTTAGACATCTGTTTAGAATGTATACTACTATCGAAACTACTTCACTCCAAAATCTCTTTGGCATATCTTTAGCTTTCAAGATGCTTCTAGTCATGTTCAATATACTTCGATTCTTCCTCTCAGCTATGCCATTCGATGAGGTGTTTAGAGTGTAATGACATCATGCTCTATACATTCCTCATTGTAAAATCTAGCAAATTCTCAAGAGGTGTATTCACCACCACCATCAGTTCTCAGTTTCTTCAACTTGCATCCATTTTGCTTATCGACATGCAATTTAAATATCTTGAACTTTATGAATACCTCATTCTTCCTTTAAATAAGGTAAATTCACCTATATCTAGTGAATTGATCTATGAAAGTTAGGAAATAGTAGTTAACTCTATTCGACCTTACTTCAAATGGTTCATACACCTCAGAGTGACCTAGTTCCATATTTTCTTCCAACCTCATTGGCAAGTCATGCTTGAATGCTTTCCTACCCTACTTTTCTTTGCAACATTCCCCACATACTTGACTTGGTTCCTTAACCAGAGGTAAGCCATACACCACCTTCTTCTGGTCGAACATACCTAAACTTTTGAAGTTTAGATATCCATATTTGTGATGCCATAGCCAATTCTTGTCTTCTTCTGCAATCGAAGCAAGACACTTGTGATCAACCGTGTTGATCTCTACTTTGAAGGTCGTGTTTTCTACTAATGGTGTCTTTAAATCAATATTTCATCATTATGATACACCTTTATCTGATTTTTTCTAGCTTCATGTTATGTCCTTTTGCAAGTAATTGACATACACTTATCTTGTTACTTGTCATATAAGGTACATACAACACATCAGTGATGCTGGATTTTCGATCATCCTTTATGACAATAGAGATATCTCTTTTTCCACATGATGTGATGTGTCTGCCATATACAAACTTTATCACTTTCTTAACTGATTCATCTAGCTTGGTGAACCAGTATTTATTACCATTCATGTGGTTACTGCATCCTGATCCAGGTACCACATGTTGGTGTTCCCAATGTTTGACTGAGTGTTGGCTATGAGTAGCGCATCATCAGAGTCATTATCTTCTACATGTGCATACTGCACTTCATAATTATCTTTTTCTCGTGTTTCTTTATTTCTTCGACAGTCTCGAGCATAGTGTCCAAATCCTTCACAAATGTAACACTACACCTCCTTTGTGTCAACTTTCTTCCTATAATACTTATTATCCATGCCTTTCTTGATTGAATCATAGTGATTATTTGAGTTCTTTCTTGACTTCTCATCATTAGCAAGATTCTTTTCCTATTTCACCTTTTGTTTCCCAGATTTTTTTTTATGAATCTTGCTTGTAGTGCCTATTCAGCTAAGTTCTCCCTTTCTGAGTTCCTCTGCTTCAGTCTTATCTCATGAGCCTCTAGTGAAGCTTGAATTTCTTCTAACTTCATCTTAACTAGGTTCTTGAATTCTTCAATTGACACTACAATCTAATCAAAATTCACAGTCAAAGATCTCAACACTTTCTCAATCTTCTGCAAATCGTTGATTGATTCATTACACGCCTTCATTTGGTTTGTTAACAACACCACACGTGAAAAGTATTCTGAGACTGGTTCTTCTTCCTTCATCTGAGTCATCTCGAATTGCTTTATCAGCGTCTGCAACTTCACCCTTTTCAATTTTTCATCTCTGCCATACAAGTTCTTTAACTTATCTTACTCTCCTTTGACAATTTCTTATTCAATTATCTTCTCAAACACGTTAGGATCCACACTCTGGTGAATAAAGAACAAACATTTTCCATCTTTCTTTTTTTGTGTCTTGTGTGCATCTTGCTGAACATCATTTGCATTCTTCCAATGCAGATACTCAATCATTCATGATTTTAGCCACATCTTAAAATATGAAGATGACCTTCATCTGTACAACCCACTGTTCGTAGTTTTCCCCTTTGAAAATCGATAAATTTGCTGAAAATTGCATTGATGTTGTTGTTTTGTTTGCCATTATGGATTCTCTATGAATTGCAACTAGGGTCTAATACCAATTTGTTGGAACAAAGGGTTTTCAAGAAAGGATAAAAGAAGAAAAAGAAGAGAGAAAAACTATAAATTGAATTATGAAAATTAAGATTATTATTATTATTATTATTATTATTATTATTATTATTATTATTATTATTAATAATAATATTAATATTATTATTAATATTATTATTATTATTAATATTATTATTATTATTATTATTGTTAATATTATTAATAATATAATAATAATTATTAATATTATTACTATTATGGTTATTATTATTATTATTATTATTATTATTATTATTATTAATATTGTTCTTATTATTATTGTTGATATTATTATTATTACTATTGTTATTGTTAATTTTACTTTTATTATTAATATTTTATTATTATTGTTAATATTATTATTATTATTATTATTATTATTATTATTATTAATACTATTATTATTATTATTGTTGTTATTATTATTATTGTTGTTATTATTATTATTATTATTATTATTATTATTATTATTATTATTATTATTATTAATATTTTTATTATTAATATTATTATTATTACTTGATCTGACCTGATCAGAAGGGAACCACTGGACTGCCATGCGTCTTTGACTTGCTACCTGCTTACTAGTGTTTAAGAGGAAAAGGGGGGTGTACTTACAAGACACTCTGATGCCAAAGTAAGGAATTGGACAGAGTGAGAACAAATACAGAAAAGAGGATGAGAATTGAATACCTGACCCTCTTGTGGAAGAGGGTATTTATAGAGAGACTCCGGTGCAGGGCCAACGGTCATTTGAGTTAGACTGGATGGTTAGGCCCAACCAAAGTGACTGCTAGGGTTTACGTGGCGTAGTGAAGACCAGAACGTGGTCTTCGCCCTAGTTCAATTGTTCCGTGAACTCCGGAGAGTGGGTTGCCTGCTCTTTCGGAGGTGGGCAGTTGGTTGATGATGTGTCCCTCGGAGGGAGCACGTGGAGAACGTGTGAGATATACGTCTTTCTGCCTGACGGGGGAAGTGTCCTGCCCGGTAGGAGTCTCGTGCTCGACACAGATGAGAGGAACTCATTTGGGCCTTTCATCAAGCATAAGTGGGCTGGGCCTTCCCAGTCAAGCGGGGGCCCAGGCCAGAACATTATTATTATTATTATTATTATTATTATTATTATTATTATTATTATTATTATTATTATTATTATTATTATTATTATTATTATTAATTTTCTACTGTATCTCTTACCATAAATATTTTATAAAAGTAAATTACATGTATAGTTTATATTAACCAAGAAAGTGTATAGTCTAAATTTAATTCAAGAGAACTTCCTCATTCTTTTATTTAAATTGATAGATCTCCTGGTCTCTTAAATTTTATTTTAAATAATATGTACTATTTGTTTGTGCACTTGATATAATTTAAGAAAAACAATTTAAATATTAAATGTTGTGTTTTATTCCATTTAAGCCATATTATTTTATAATTATTTGAAAATATAAATATTACAAGTGAGTTCTCTGGATAACATTTTTATTTATAATTATAAAATGGTTTTTTCTACATGATGCACAAATTCAACTCAACGCACTGATAAAATTCGAATGGTTTGATTTAGTTTTAGTGTTTGAATTATAGGTTGAATACATGACCAAAACCAAAATAATTGATTAGTTTAAATCAATTTGGTCATATTCAACCTAATCCAACCTATGAGCACCTCTAAAAAGTAAAATACCACAAAAATATCTTATACTATGAAACAAAGTATTTGATCAAACCATTTTATATCAATGCTTTAAATGATTTAATTATAAATATTCATTTGAAATTATATGAACGAGTACATGTAAATAAAATTACACATTGCTTACGTAAAAAATAATTTTTTTAATATATAAATTTTAGAGATATTTATTTTAAAGTTTATAAAAGAATAATTTGTTAGGATAAGCCACTGTATAATCACAAATATAAAAATTTAAAATTTTAATTGTCGGAATAAAAAATGAATAGATATAATAACTGAATCGATATATATTAGTGAAATTAGATGGTTGGATACAAACTGTTAATATAGAGTTTAATCATAAACATCATTGTTTTTTTATATTTTACGTATGTATTATTTTAAATAATGTATTATTCTAAACAAGTTTATAAACTAATAATTTTATAATAATAAAATAAAATAAGTTATTCTATGTAGCAAAACTGGTGTGAAAAGTAATTGATTTGCTCTTTCTAATTCAGTTAGATCACTGGATCATCATCTTCACAAAATGTGACCATGGGCCCAATCAATTTATTAGATCTAAGTGAAACTCTAGCCCACTTCTCAAAATAAAAAATTAAACTTATTTACTGTAAAGTTCAAATAAAATGAATTTGAATGTCACTGTTAATATGAAGAAATTTCATCAATAAATAATGATATTTTTGTGAACAATATATAGTCCTCAAAATTTATTAGAGTTATAAAATAGAGGGTTAAATATGTGCGTGGTAGAAACGAAATTTTATAGCCATTTTAATATTTAACAATTGTATTAGCAACAATTTTAATATTACAAAAATTTGAATACGTAAAAATTATTCTTTAAAAAAACATATTGAGAGTTAGAAACGAAATTTATTTTAAAGAACTATTCTTTAAAATAAATTGTGTTAAACATTTATCCTTAAAAATACTTTAAAAAAAGTTGTTTTGAATTTTTTTTTTTACTTTTACAAAATTGACTCCACAACTTCCAAAATTGAATTAAAAACACTTTAAATATTTTCTTCTTTATATTTTTTTGGTCAAACTTGTTAACCTTTTCAATAAAAGAATTTATATTTGTGAAACTATGTGCAGTTTAGAAACTAGTGGTGCAAATAGTAAAGAGTAGTTAGAACGACATAGCACAATATCGTAAAGCGATAAGAACTGAGTGAAGCACAGTGAATTTTCACATCAATGGAAGAACAACAACAAAAACTTCTTCAATCCTCTTCCTACCCCTTCTTCTGGGGCTACACACCAGAACAACAATACTACAAACAACAACAAATCACATCCACAAAATCAACCTTCACAACACCAAGAAACCTCACTCTCTTCACCCGATCATGGCTTCCAACCCTCACCACGCCACCACGCGCTCTCATCTTCATGATCCATGGCTACGGCAACGACATCTCATGGACCTTCCAATCCACCCCAATCTTCCTTGCTCAAATGGGTTTCGCTTGTTTCGCTCTTGACCTTCAAGGCCACGGTCAGACCCAAGGTCTCAAAGCTTTTGTCCCTAGCGTTGACCTTGTTATACAAGATTGTCTCTCTTACTTCAATTTCATCAAAAGAGATCCAAAGTTTGAATCTTTACCGTGTTTTCTATTCGGTGAGTCAATGGGGGGTGCTATTTGTCTTTTGATTCATTTTGCTGATCCAAGAGGCTTTCAAGGTGCTATCTTAGTAGCACCCATGTGTAAAATCTCTGATAAGGTTAGACCCAAATGGCCAATTCCTCAGATTCTCACTTTTCTTGCGAGATTCTTCCCTACTTTGCCGATTGTTCCTACTCCTGATCTTCTTTACAAGTCTGTGAAAGTTGATCATAAGAAGGTTATTGCTCAAATGAACCCTTTGAGGTATAGAGGGAAACCTAGGTTAGGGACTGTGGTGGAGCTTTTGAGGGTTACTGATATTTTGAGTAGGAAGCTTTGTGATGTTGAGCTTCCTTTTATTGTGTTACATGGAAGTGCTGATGTTGTTACTGATCCTGAGGTTAGTAGGGAGTTGTATGAAGAAGCTAGGAGTGAAGATAAGAGTATTAAGGTTTACGATGGGATGATGCATTCTTTGCTTTTTGGGGAGACTGATGAGAATGTTGAAATTGTTAGGAATGATATTTTGCAGTGGCTGAATGCTAGATGCAATTGAAGAACAAATGGTGATTGTAGATGAACATGGTTGGTGTGATGATTGATGAAATGGAAGGCTTGAAAGGATGTTTGCAATTGCAAGTAGTTTGAGTTCTCAATTGTCTTGTTATTGATTCTTGATTGATGAAATGCATCAATGAGGATTTGAATTAAATTAATGGTCTATAGTATACATAGTGTTTTATTTATTTATAAAAGATATGATTCTTGGAATGACATGAGATGTTGTTTTGGTGTGAAATGTGAATTATTTGTTTATGGTTTGAGACAAAAAGAGCATGTTCTGTGTTTTGGGTGAGTGGTTTGTGTTTGGATGATAAGGGAAATGCTGACTTAGCAGAATCAGATGTTTCTCTCAGAAATTCAGATTTGAGACAAATAGATAAAGTTTGAGATCTTTTTGAATTTATATTTTTCCTTGTTTGTGTAGGTGAACTTTAGGTTCATATACAATTTGTGAACATTGTTGAAGTGCATTTGAAAACTTGGGTTCATATACAATAACAGGAAAACAGATTTTCAAGCAATTACTATAAATGGCTTCATGATATCAAGGGATATACGAGTTTACAAAAATTGAAGAATGTTAAGGGCCTTAACTATTGCAACAACTGACATTGTTCCACATCAGAACAGAATGGACAAGGGTTTGTGACTGAATCCACTCCACTTGACAGAACAAAAATGAAAATCGTATACAGACAATACAATGCATGAGGCCAACTTCTGACTTATTCACTCTTTTGGTTTAACCAAAAGAAGTGACACTAGATTGACACCTCGCTGTCATTTTTCATTGCATCAAATATCAAAGATTCTCTACCCTAACTATTTTAACACAATCAATTCATCTGCAATTTTTATACTCCAACCGTTTTTTTTTAATTGTCATTTTTTAACTTTTTATTCATACTAAAAAAATTAATAATTATTGTTACTTTTTAAATTATAATTTTTTTTAGATTATAATACCCCTAATTTTTAATTATTTTGATATATTTTTTTCTCTTTCCATTATAAATTGATAGGGTAATTTTGACAAAACTATAATCATTATTACTTTAAACTTTGTAAAAAACAATTAGAAAAATATATAAAATTTTCACAAAAATGATAATTAAAAAGGAAGGGAGGGAGTATCAAGATCACCCTATCTGAATTTAATAACATTTCAATTTCCTTTAAAATGAAAAATACTAGATTTAAAATTTAAACTAATCGATATTTATCTAATGATTTCAAGTATGTCAAATACAATGATTGCATATAAGCGAGATGTTTTTGAAATAATAATAAAAAAATGTTATTTTTATATCAAATCTATAGACCTATATCATATTTCATTGTTCATCAATACCGTGAACAATGAAATATTATAATAATATATTTTTTAAAATATATAAAAAAAATTTTTTTAATTTTTTTTAAATTAAATAATATTGATATAAAATTGTGTTATTAATCAACTTCATAACTTCATTAACTAACATTTATATTTTATTAACCAATTTTGTTTGTTACTAAAAAATTATTTTTAATATCTGAACGTTTATTAATTAATTTCATATCTTCATTAATCAATTTTTTACTTTTCATTAACCAACTTTGGTTTACTACTAAAAATATTTTTAATATCTGGGTGTCTATTAATCAACTTCATCACTTCATTAACCAACTTTTTACATTTCATTAACCAACTTTGTTTCATTACTTAAAGTCATTATTCACGAATACTGTTTACGGGATACTGTTTATGCAATATATACTGTTTATAAAAAATCATTTTTTATTTGTATAAATACAGTGAACAGTAAATACAGTGTATGTATTTAGTGTAAAAGGTGGTGTAAGAATAACAATCTTAATAATGTTAACACCTAAAATAGAAACAACTTATATATCACTAAATAGGCATCATCAACAACTCCATGAGTAAGGACAACAACGACCCTGTTAAAAAAATGCGAGTTAAAAGAAAATAAATTACAACAACTAATAAATTAAAGACGAAATTATTTAAATATAATATTTATTTTATTTGTTGTTTCCAAACATAGTATTTTTTTCATGAATCAATACTTTCAACTCTTATGCACAGAAATGGTCAAAGGCTTAAATAACAAAAGTCAATTTTCTTTAAATCTACTTCACTTGATTCAAAATATAAAAATTATGTTAAATTGATTTGAGCGTTAGAGTATTAACTATCGTACAAAATAGTGATGCTATTTGTGGGAATCGACTTATAATTCCTATAATTTCCACGATTTCAGATCCAATCTCTGATTTACCTCTTTTGACTTCAAAGTTTCCTTCCCATCTTTATTCTTAACAACATGATGTTCCCAACCCTTGATAATATCTTTCTACGTTTTGCTATCCATAAATTTTTAAAAAACCACCATATGTGTCTTCCAATAGTCATAGTTGGTGTCATCTAAGACGTGGGGTCTATTAACATTTTCACCTCCTTCCTTTTCTATAGTATCAAAAAGTATCTTTCCTGGAGCTCGCCATAAACAGAACAGAGTGTCTGCTCTAATGTCAATTGAAATTTTGACACGTATGTTAGAACACATATTGGTTCTTAATATATCTCAATGTTTTGATGATAACAATAATAAAATTTTGTATGGAGAAAATATATACTCTAATTTTGTTCAAGTGTTATTGTTTCAGATAACATAATAAATATTCCTCTGAACGTTAAGCTACAATACGCAGAAGACTCTGAGCATTTGGTAAAAAGCAAAGCTACAGAAGGCTCTGAGTGTAGAGTATAAAGCGAAGATTCAGAAAACTCTGAGCGTACTAAACTCAACGCTGAAACTGCAGAGGCTCTGAGAATCAAAACACGTAAGGCTCTGAAACGTTAGTAACAAAGTGATACATTTGGATAACACGGATAACACGTAAGAGCGAAGATCTGCTCTGATCTAAAGCGCTCCTCTGGATGAACAATTTGTTAAAACAATCACGCTAGCACTAAGCTGCAGAACTCTGGAAGAGAGTTACTCTGATAAGAAGAAAATGGAACATCATCAGAGGATCTGATGCAGGAAATATTTCCATATTCGTTCATTTAAAAAGATGCTGATCAAGAAAGATTCGTTGCCAAAGTCATTGTCTACATCCAACGACATTATTCCTCTTTTGTGTATGGGACAGGATTTTAGAACAAAAAGGATATCTCTGAATATTCCTCTCCTGGAAAGAAACAGTCAAAAAAAACAAAAACAAAAAAAAGCATTTGCACGCTATTTGAGAAATGGGTGTGAAGTATTTAAACAAGTCTTCAACAACAATTCAATATACAACATCTTTCTACAACGAACATACTACTTTGCTGAAAAGAAAATCCTACTTTGTTATCACTTCCAAGTTAATTTCATATTAGCAAATAAAAAGTTTCATTGATCTTCATTTGTGTAAAATTACTGTTGTGAAAAATATTTTCTAAGAAGCACTTAAACCCACTTTATTGTACTACTTTGTAAAAGATCCTTGAGAGACCAAGTTGTGGTTAGTATTCTCGAGAAGACTAAGACAAGTTTGTCTTAGTGAACAGATTGTAATCAGTTTTTGATTATTGGATTAAGTCCTCTTTTGAAAGAGGCGAAATCACCTTGGACGGGTGGACTGGAGTAGTTTGAGTTCAAACGAACCAGTATAAAAATACCTGTTATTTTTATTGCCTTATTTGTTTTTGAAAACCCTTATTTAAACCCCCCCCCCCTTCTCAGTGTTTTCCTTCCTTCAGTTGGTATCAGAGCCTGGTTCTGAGTGCTATCACTTAATAGTGATAGAGAAAAGATCCGGTTGGAAAAATCTTTGATTTACTATGGCTGAATCTTCAAACAACGCTAACGTTGGGTTGAACAACAAATATGAAGAGAAAGACAGAATCAACATCAACACAAAGCCTCTTATGTTTGATGGAGAAAAATTCGATTACTGGAAGGATAGATTCGAAAGCTTCTTTCTTGGCTATAATGCTGATCTCTGAGATATAGTCACTGATGGATACACTCACCCCACTAACGGTGAAGGAAAAAAGATTGATAGAAAATCAATGACTGATCAACAAAAGAAAGACTTCAGGAATCACCGCAAGGCAAGGACAATTCTGCTGAACGCTATATCTCATACTGAATATGAGAAAATCACCAATAGAGATACAGCGCATGACATGTTTGAGTCCTTGAAGATGGCGCATGAGGGAAACACGCAGGTGAAAGAAACGAAGGCTCTAGCGCTGATTCAAAAATATGAAGCCTTCAAGAGTGAGGAAGATGAATCTGTGGAAACCATGTTTTCTAGATTTCAGATTCTGACTGCTGGATTGAAGGTTCTTGACAAAGGCTACTCCACTTTGGATCATGTAAAGAAGATAGTCAGAAGTTTACCAAAGAGGTGGAGACCTATGGTCACAGTGTTAAAGCTCTCAAAAGATCTGAACAAAATCACTCTGGAGGAACTCATCAGTTCTTTAAGAAGCCATGAGATAGAGCTTGAAGAAGATAAGCCTCAGAAGAAAGGTAAGTCCATAGCTTTAAAATCTAACAAAAAATCTGAAACTAAAGCTTTTCTGGTACTAGAAGAAAGCTCTGGAGATTCTTCATCAGATGAAGACGAACTATCTTTACTATCCAGAAGAATAAATCAACTTTTGAAGCACATGCAAAAGAAGTTCAAAAAATTTAAAAGACCAGAACACTGTGGAGAATCTTCTGGTCACAGAAGATCTAGCAAAAAGGAAGTAGTGTGCTATGAATGTAAAGAGCCAGGACACTACAAGAATGATTGTCCCAAACTTCAAAAGGATAAACCCAAGAAGAAGTTTGAGAAGAAAAAGAAAGTCCTGATGGCTACTTGGGATGACTCAGATCCTTCTGAAGCCTCGTCAGTGTCTGAAGACGAATGTGCAAACGTTGCACTAATGGCTGACATAGAGGAGCATGAAGAATCATCTGAATCTGGATCAGAAACAGATTTAGA